ATGCTTAAATGAATGTTGAATAAAATGCAATGATACAAATGCGGATGCAAAAATATTGATCCCAACGATAAATACCGTAGAACAATTTCCACCAGAGATAAAAAATTTCATATTACAAGACAGTCCACTTTACAGACATGTCTTCGCTTAGATGGTGAGCCTGGAATGGATCACTGCTTCATATCGGATCTTCGTCCTCAATAATGATGCCCCTCAAGCGCTCTGTAATCTGACTCCGTTAATGCCTCGGCTATGCTGAAGTTTGTGCTTCACTCCCTGATGGTTAACGATGGAATAATTGTGGATGAGAATCTACTGCTGGATTATTCCTTAGATCAGTGGATTATCATATCAGTCTCGAATAATGCACGATATTCGAGAAAATCTCATTCTTGTACTCTGGACTTCTTTTTAGCCTCGATGCATGCCTGTGTATGCGATCGCTTGATTGAAAACTTTTATCTCTTCTTGTTAAAATTTTCTCTCGAATATCCCCTTACGGATCAACACTTTTGCATTATGATGATGCAATGCAATGCAATGCAAATGACAAATTGACACAAACAAATGAGAAGAAATAAGTTAGTATACACAAACAAAAGAGAAAAATAAGTTAGTACATGTAAAATAATTGATACAAATAAAAATGTAATTCAGAGATGGATATAACACCTACCCCGTCATGATATCTACCCAAACATGCTTTCAATTAAATAACAATCCTACCCGGACATGCTATCTACCCAAAATGATCTATTTTCAAGAAATTGGTCCTAACTGCATGGTATCTAGTTCGCATGCTTTATTCGGAAAAAAAAAATATATTCTACAAATTTAAATGGTTAAGGTTTAGAATCGCTCCTCCTTCGTGTACACCTATTTTGGGTACCTACTGACGGACAAAGGTTCGGTATGACTATACCTAGGGTGATCGTTCGACGGTTCACTATATGCTTGGTTTCGGCTCTAACGGAAAAAAGGGACTCGAATTGTCTTTGATGTCGGTGCCCCCTTGGGCTGCCAAACCCTCAATCCTCACCCATTACAGGTTTCAAACGGAACGAGTTCAATTCGAGGGGATTCACTGTCTTATACCCATACGAGGAATAAATTCCTACGAAGGTATAAGGTATGTATCCCATGGGTTATTTGCTAAAACTCATACGAAGAATAAATTCTTACGAGAGTAAAGCATTCACCCCAACTAATTTGGATCGAAGCTCGTGTCTAGAGCTTATGTTATGCCAATGCGAGTGATGTGTGTGAGGAGGAACATACCTACCTTTGACTCAAAATGAAAAGAAAAAACTCGACAAAAACTTGGACAGAGCTGAAAGCAAAAAGATAAAATGTTAGTATGATAATTAAAAATGAAGCAATTAAAAACTTCAATAAATGGATCATAAATTAACTAAAAACTAGAAATCATAATTTCCACCAAGATGACAATATGTAAACGACATACAGCCTGACTCTCGAAAAAAAGTCCCCAGCGGAGTCGCCAAGCTGTCATAACCATCTTTTTAGGTAAAACAATTAAATATTTAAAAAAACGATTACGACTTTGATTTGGAAAGATTGGGTGATTTTGAATTGATTTGAATAAAATTGAAAAGAGTCGCCATCGACCTTTAGGTTAGGTAGGTCGAATACCTAAAAACGTCTTTTAAAACAATTAAAAAAAATCATTTTATAAGACAAAATTTGGTATGCGTCACCAAAGATTCGATTAAATGGATTCGGGAGTTGGTTACGCGTGGGGAAGGATTAGCACCCCCACAGCGCCCAAAATTGGTACTCTATCGCTTACATATCGTCGTGATGATGGAAATTACAAATCGAATATAAAGTTAAATTAAGATCCATTTATTGAAATTTAATTAATTTACTTCGAGTTAACTATTTAAAGAAAATCCTTTAACTCGATAAGAAATCTTGAAATTTGCAATCCTCCGTCGGGAAAGCTATTTCAACTATTTCTCTTTTGTAAAAGAATATTCTACCATTGATTATGTAAAAAATTGCGAATCAAATATAACTAAAAGCGATGTTTACATACGAGTAAATTGATTAACTAAAAACGTGAATTGAATACAAATTAAAAAATTTGAAATTTACATTCACATAAACTAAAATAGATTGTCACTTATAATAACACACATTGCATCGTTTGAACAAATTAATTATCAAAATATACTCGACTTATTTCAAGTTTCTATGTCGTTAAAATGCCGTACCGGATCACACCACTTCGACCAAGTGGTACTTTCCACGCCCATTCTACGCATACGTGTTCTTGAAAATATAATTGAATATTTCATACATAGATAAAAATATAATAAATGTAATTGGGAATACAAAATAAAATATTTACATTACTAAAAAACATTATTTACATAATACAAATAACCGAATAACAAGTACAATAAAATCATACATAAATGACTAAAATAAAATATTCACAAATATCAGGGATAAATTCGAACATCTACCAAAATACCTATCATATGAAATCAGAGACTAAAACGAAACTATTACAAACATTGGGTCTAAAGTCAAATATCCACAAAAATGACATAATATACATTAGTAGGACTAAAATATAAACAAGGAAACATAGATGCCCAAAACAAAAGAAAATAAAATAGACCTTAAACCAAATATATTAAAAAACAGAAAATGACTAAAATAAAAGCAATTAGAACTTGAAGCCAAAAATTAAAAAAAATGCAAAGTTATATTCAGTGATTAAAATAAAATAATTACACAATACGAGATCAGATTCCAACATTCACGAAAGTAGTAATATAAAAGAGTAAGGACTAAAATGAAATAAACAGAAACATAAAAGATCACAAAGTAATTAAACCAAACATCAAACAATGACTAAAATAGAATATATACGAATATGGTGACCCAATTCAAATAACAGTAAAGATAATAAAATGCATGGGATCAGTGATTAAATTGAAATATTTGAAAATATTAAATCCAGAATCAAATATAGACAAATATGATATAAAACATGAACAGTGACTAATATATAACATTTGCAAATTCCATGACCAAATCCGAATATCAAAGGAAAATGCACAATAAACTGAGACAGTGACTAAAACGAAATAAATATAAATATCACAACCAAATTATAATATCAGCAAACATAATATACAAATTAATGACTGAAATGCAATCATTAAAAACTAAAAGGCTCGAAATAAAACAATAATAAATTCATTAAATGGCTTAAATAATGCGGTTACAAAGGACCAGGGACCAAAAGTGTAGTTACCCCGCAAGATAAAAAACACGCTGAAGGTCCCTTGCTGAAACGGCGCCGTTTTGGTTGAATAATATAAGCCCAAAATCGGGCTTAGGTCACTCACTTCTCCTCATTTGCTTGCCTTCGAAAAACAGAGGGGAGTTAGAGAGTTTTAAACTCTCTCAACTCCCATATAAGAGAAAAGAAATAACGCCGTCGACGGTGGCGCTCACGGCGGCGACGACGGCGGCGCACGGCGGCCGGAGATGCCCAACAACCATCAAAAGAATCATCTCAACCCCCACTACTCAAAACCCCACTCCACTTTGCCTAAACACTACCCCAGTCTCCTAAATCTGCCGATTTACCTCTCGAAACAATAAGACACGGTGACCTTTGAACTCCTTGCATGCCTTCGCCGAACCTCCCTCCTCGGTAAGCTTCTTTTTTTTTCTCTCTGTTTTCTTTATATTTTCTTTTTTTGTTCTGAAAACTCCCTCCCCTTCCTTCCTTGAACCCCGAATGGCTCCCCCTCTTTATCTGCCTTCTCTTTTTTTGATTTTATGTTAGCTTCCATGATTTGTGATGATTGAATTTGCTGCCCGAGACACTAGGGTCGACAGAGGCTAGATGTACCTTAGGACATCATTTGGATTTTCTTTTGATTTTTTTCCTTTATTTTTCTCTGATTGCTCTGACTGGTTTGGTATTTGATGGCCTTGTTGTCACTGTGGATGATAGATTGACTCGATGAGAGGTTCGACGGTGGCTTGAGGCTCGGTGATATTCGGCTTGAACGGCTACTGGAACGTTGAAGAGGCACGACGACTGGATTGGCTTAGGGTTGTGAAACCCTATTTACCATCGATCTGGACCGTTGAATGGGTCCAGATCGAATGGTCTATGTTGGTGCGGCGCTGGGATGTTGATACCCTAAGGTTAGGGTTTGCAATCGGGCTGCTGAGTGATGGGTATGGGCTCGGGTCAATTGGGCTTCGTTTGTTGGGCATGGGTTGGCCTGCAAAACAGTGTAATATGTAAATTGTAAGTTAAATAATAATAATAATAATAATAATAATAATAATAAATATATAAATGATAATAATAAAAAAGACCCGGACAAAAACGGGTGTCTACAACACCACGGAACAAAGGCAGGAAGCACAGTGCCGGTAAGGGAGAGACAATGCTTGCTATGCAGAACCCTAAGGTGATGTCATGTAAGATTTTTATATGTTATCACAGGGATTGAACTTTGCATGTTTTAGGTGCATATAGTGAAACAAATCATCTGAAAACCATTTTTTTCCAGCAACTAAGTTATTATCTGGTACATATTTGAATTAACATAACTGGTCAAAGCAGTTCTTTTTACCAACATAATCCCATTATGGATGAATTATAGACTAATGACCATTTGGTTTATGGATGCTAGTTAAGCAAAAAATAATAATGGTGCTATCAAATCATCATATATAGTTGCTTCAGTGTTGTTTAATGAAAATTTCAAAATGCAGGTTAGAATGAAGTTAGTTAACCTTGGACATGCTCAGAGGTGGGTACTTTATGGTCAGGGTTTCGGTTTTTCGATGATACTAATATTCTTGTGATTCCTAGTCATTTAGCGATCTTATATATGTCCTAAATCTTGTGTTTATGTTTTCGTTTACCATATGTCAAAGTTATTTATGGTTTTCTCTACCTAGTTAATATCTACATTGACTCCCTTCATCGTGATTATCCTACAGCCAGGAGACGAGAAAAAATTGCAACCAGAGTACGAATTGGATGGGAAAGACGCCGTGAGAAGTTAATGGTGCAGGAAACTTGCCACTTTGAGTGGATGAACTTGATTGCCGAAGCTTCAAGAAAAGGCTATATTGGTGGAGAAGTGCTATAATGGGATTCGTACAAGATGCTAGATGAGCAGTTGACTAAGGAATGGCTGGAAAGCGTTGAACAAAGGAAAACGATGCCTAGACCAAAAGGTAGCAAGAAAGCACCAAAATCACCTGAACAAAGAAGGAAAATTGCCGAAGCCATTGCAGCCAAATGGGTTGATCCTGTATGTGCTTTCATTTTTATGGATTGTGAGATAACATCCAATTAATCGAACTGATGCGACTTCATTTTGATTTTAATGCTTACAAGATATCCTTGTAGGTTGTAGCTTTGCATCTAAATGTGGGTTTTAATCTCCTAAATAGGAATATCATGAGAGAGTTTGCTCTGGCATGATGAAATTTCATGGCATATCAGAAGGGGCTCAAATAAAACCAATGAGGAAGCCAACAGCTAGTACACAGTCTAAGCAGAGCCCTTCCATGAGGAAATCTAATGAAACAAGCTGTTCTTCTATTAGTGAGACTATAACCCCAATCGAGCGGTTGAGGTTTGAAGAAAAAATAAACCACTTTATAAGGACACCATGGTGGGTTCCAAGCTTGAGATGTTGAAGAACATCACAGCACAAAGAGTGGAGACTTTTCTATGGCAAGTGATTTTGCAAAAATTGTCAGTGAAGACAGCTTTGGTTAAACGAGGAGTAAAGGACATAGTTGATTTGTTATGTCCTTTATGTAAGTTAATGGAAGAGTCCCCTCCCATTTATTATTTTCTTGTTCGGTTGTTTGGTCAATATGGAACAAGTTCATGTGCTACTGGAATATTCAATCTGTTTTTCAAGTAGATGCTAAAAGTTTTCTTCTAGCCTGGGTAGAATTGAGGTATAACTCTGTCATATGGTCATTTATTCCTGGAGTGGTTCTATGGACAATATGGAAAACTAGGAATTCTATTGTGTTTGAAGGAGGGAAACTAGATAATTAGCTGACCCTTATTCCCATATGTAATGGGGTAGGGGGGAGGTAAGATAGTAGGTTTCCCCCAACGTCAGGTTGAGAGCAGCTTCCGTGGGAGACCTCCATATATGAAATGCCCTCCGTGGGACTCGATCCCACGACCTCAAGGTTAAGAACCTTGTGCTCTACCAACTGAGCTGGATGGTCATTTCGGAGGGAAGCTAGATCAAGCTGGAATTTTCTTTTTAGCAAGGTTCAGGCTTGCTTCATGGCTTTTAGCAAAAAATTCTCAGGTTTCTATCTTTAAGGATTGTCTTATTGTTGATCCTTCCTTGGGTATTCTTGCTTACCATATTCTAATCGGATTTTATCAAAGTGTCTGTGGTCCCCTCCTCCCAAGGGCCTTATTAAACTTAATGTGGATGTTGCTACTACTAGTGATTGGAAGAGGAGTGTGGTGTTCTTAAAGACGTATCTGGTTCGATACTAGCATCTTTCAAAGAGCCTGCTGGTCCAGGGCCTCCTACATTGATGGAATTGAAAGTTATCCTAAAGGGTCTGGTTTTCTTTGAATATATTCGACAGAGATATAAGGAAAGTTTGATTATCGAGAGTGATAGTAGGGTGGTTGTTGATTGGGTTAAGGACGTTGTTCTATGTCCCGCTGTTTATGTTCATATTGTTAAAGATATTATTCAAAAACTCAGAGATTGTGAAGGCGTTATTAGATGGGTTAATAGGACTGCCAACCTAGAGGCAGATTCCCTAGCTAAGGCTGGCATTGGTTAATCCTCATGTTATTTTTAAAAGGATGTTTCCTTTTGGGTTTTTTATCTCCTTAAGGGAGTTAGGTGTTGTATTCCTATGTTGATATTGTTGTTAATAAAATCATAGGGCACTCTTTTCCTCCTTCCCCTGATTAAGGAACTATTTTTCAAGTTCCTTAAATCATGAAGGGGGTTTTTAATGAGGCCTAATATTCTTATAAAAAAAAGAGCAAGGTTAGTCTTTGCACGAGCAAGGTTGGTCTTTTCTTATATTCTCCCAGCATATAACATGATATTCTCTTAATCATTCCCATGCATCATCCTTGTGCATTTTGGGTACCAATGAGAGAAAATAGTTTGCCAATTCACTGTATAAGTCAATGATTACATATATGACAATGCAGACTTTTAATTGCTGATGTTGAGAAGACTGCAAAAGCCCTTGAAGCTGCTGCAATGAAGAGCCCTGTTGCTCGAGCCTCACTCATCGAAACCAAAAAGCTTATAGCAAAAGAAATTCAATCAATTGAATCGATAAAGGGAGGACGAGTTACATCCAATGAGAATGGTGGATATATTTCCGTTGACTCAGCTGAACCTGTAACACCCCCAACCCGACCCAGATACGAATCTGAGGTGTCACATTAACTTTTCAAAACCGGTACTTGTACAAATTAGTGAATAATTTTAAAAATTTTATTAAAACAACTGACTAAATTACATAAAAGATATTCATATGATTTTAGAAAAACTAATTAGAGCATATCAAATTAAAATCTTTATTTACATGCCAACTACTATCCGCATTATAAAATACATCTTATACAATGCTTTTTTGATCTGATCTTTAGAAAGGAGGAACTGACATGTCTTGCTTAACTTTAATCATTCTTCCTCTTCTTGGTACCTACGTGTGAAACAATCACACACTAAGTCGTTGACTTAGTGAGGCATATAAAACATGTAATATAAATCATAGTACATTTCATATATCAAAATACATACATGTACATATACCATCATTATCGAAATCTCTATTTATCATATGATCTTGTATTTATCATTTCTGTATATCATATAACACATTTATCATTTCACAACTAAACATACATAATATCATATAATTCATGGAACATATTCCAATCACCAAAAGCATATGCATCAAATGTATTGAATTGGTTATTGTCTTTTTATTAGCCCATATACACCTGTGAGAACTTAAGGTATGTGAGTACATTGAGGTTGTGCACTAATGTTGTCACCACAACTCGTATAAATTCCCTCATGGGGCACCAAACATTTGTTCAGTATTTGTCCCGAAGAACCACTAGATACGTCTCGAAGGACCACTGGATACATCCCGAAAGACCACTGGATACGTCCCGAAAGACTAATATACCCTCGTCTCTTGACATGCCAACTATACCACTAGCTCTCATATCATATAACATGGGCATTATCATTTATACTTTTCATATCACTTGCTCTTTCTCTTCTGTCACATACCATATGTATGTGTAACCATATATTTCATATCATATCACATGTATCACAAGTGCATATATTCACGTAGATCATTTCATATGACTTATATCATTCCTCATTTGTCATTCCTCATTTGTTCATGTAAACTCGCATGTCATATCTTGTTCACATATGTTCATATATACATCACATAGCACATAGTATAACATATAAACTTATACAAGTATCCATATACATACTTTCATATACTTCGAATAAGAATGCCCTATAATTTCTCACAGTTTTACCTAATCACTTATTTCACATTAATTATATTCTAGTTTCATATATTACTTAATTCAATTTCACATAGCTTGTTACCTATATAAATATTTTCTCATAACTTATTATCATATAATTCTCATAACATTTTACTATAGCTTCATAAATCTTTACCATATGACTCATATATTATATGTTCATTTCAGCTCATAAATCCTCTCCGTATAACTTATTTTACATGTTCATATAATCACCTCTGTCAATGTCTCCTAATTTATATATTATTCTTATATTGTCCTATAAATCAATGTTATTTAACTTATCTCACTTTTCATCTAATCTCATAAGTTGGTTATACAAATTCCTATATATATATATATATATCTAACTCATGTAATTTATATCCTTTCTCTTGTTATCATATAAATCATTACTATTTTACATAGTTTGTGATCCTATAGTCACTTATAATAGCATGTGTCTATCTTATCTCATATCATATAGTTCTTTAACTTATGTCTTAAATCACATATTCATATTACATAACGTATATAATTACATCCACTACTTAAACCAGTTCACATAACTCATCACACTAACATTTATTCACTCAATTCATATAACAGATGCAATACATATAACATATGTAACCATTTTCATGTACTCATGCAAACATAAGAATCACAATTCAAATAACATTTTAGAAGTCTCTTCCTACTATAGTACTTCATCACTGCTCATCGCAAGCCAATGTTTATTTGATACATAAGTACAATTTAAATGGCACTCACCTTAGCCTTGCTTTGATTCGATTCTAATTCTTTGATCGTTCCGGAACAAGCTAACATTTAGTATCTACATAATCAAACATGGATTTATATCAGTATTGTAACTAATATACTCTAATGATTCACTCCTTAGACTAAAAGAAAAGCAAATTTCGTCTTTCAATGAAGGTATGCATTGATGCACTCTACAGTGTATCGATGCATTCTTTAACGGTGCATCGATGCACTACTTGTGCATCGGTGCATAAAATACCTTCGATGTTTCAATATTAAGGTGATGCATCGATGCACGCCTTATGCATCGATGTATTAATTGCATTCGATGTTTCTATTATTAATAAGTGCAGCGATGCACTACTTGTGCATCGATACACCTTCAACAATTTCTGGAATTTAACCTTGATGCATCGATACACATTGAATGTGCATCGATCCACCCTGTCCAGAATCCTCTTTTTAAACCCGAAAATTCATCCATTTTTACTTAAATCCTTCATGTTTCATCCCTTTTTTCATTCTTAAATCCAGTACACATACTTAAACCAATCTATACTCATTTCATCTTAAACCTCCAAATCCTATCCTTCATATGAAATTCAAGAATTACCTTAATTTTGCAACATGTGTTAATTCCACTTCTAACACTTCGTATGTCTTAACTAGATTGATGACAAGTCAAATTTAACTTTCAATTCTTATTATAAACTCTATTTCAAGATTTCACTCATGAACTCCAAATCTTTAATCTTCTCTAACTCCTTTATCTTTTGATTTTAAGATAACTTAAGCTTTCCTTAAACTTAGTTATCCTCTAATGATCAAAATCCATACTTAAAATCAACAAATAATCAACTAATCAGAAAACTTACCTTTGCTATGGAGACATGGTAGGAAAGGAAGAAGAATAAGAAAAAAGAGTTTCTGGATAAATCTCTCAAGCTTATCCCACATAAATCATTATCTTATCATTTCCAATTCAAATGACCACTTTGCCATCTAATTCATCTAATAATTATTAACAACTTTTAGGATTTATTTCCAAATAAATCATTGAACTGATCTATTGTTCTTCTTTAGTTACCAAATTCTAAAACTTTACAATTTGATCACTAACCCAGTATTGAGGATGTTACAATTCTCCCATCCTTATAAGAAAATTCTTCCTCGAATTTTCACTGTACATCTTGATAAGAACATATCTTCTCATGTTCTCCTGATGCTTCCCTTACTTAATACTTCATCCTTTCATTTCTTTATCCATTTATCCTCTTATAATCAAGATTTTCTTATATACAAATCATATCTTTATCACTTCTTCATAACATTAATAATCAACTTCACTTATACAAAACCTCATAGTTTACCAT